TCCAAACAAAGTAGATAAAAATAGCTTTATTAAGTGAAAAATATCACTTTATATTGAAATAATAAGACAAGGTACCTAACATAAACCGATGATTGTTAAATAGGCCATATATATCAGCTCAATGGTTGCCCAGGCTTCCGTGTGCAAATCCATTATCATGCTTTTGTGAACCCTTGGATTTCCTGGTGTTTTCAGGTAGGCACACCATTTCCAAAAGGCAATTATCCTACAATACTAATAACTACATAAAAAAGTGTTTTTATTATGTATATTTAAAACTAAATTTTAAGTGAAAAATATAATTAGCATTGATTATTGTTCAATAAATACTTCTTAACATCCTGCAGAATTGTTTGGGAAAATTATAGTAGAAACCTATTTAGGGAAAGTCAAGTCCAACATTCTTGATCATTTATTTCAAAAGACCATGGTTAGGTATTTTATTCTCAGTTATCTAGCATTGCCATGTGAGTAACTAGTACAAAATGACAGTTTCACAATGGGCTGATGGATAAGGCTGTCAGCTGGCTCTTTCAGAGGACGACCTCATCTGGTAACTGCATCTTGACTATCAACTTTGCCCATTTAGTAATTTAATAATTTTAATCCAGGGCTGATCTGGCTCTGATGCGTTAGTTGGAGAACATGTCATTTTCCCAATTGAAGGTTTACTTGAGAAATCAAATTAAAGTCAGAAGTTTGCCTGATGAGTATAGTTAAAATGTCAGCATGCCCAGGCACCAAAAATGCCCAAGAACTCACAGCCCTTCACCCCACAGTTCCATTTCCTCTAATCTGGCCCTAATTACAACAATCAAAATATTGAAGTAGCATTCATTCTACACTGGAAAATGTACATTCGAAAAATGATGAGTCAGAATTCTACCTGATTAAAAAAAAAAAGAATTCTACCTGATGATTTTGCCCACCTTGGTTTGTATAGCTGAGATAGCTGCTTACTGCCTTTTTCTCAGTGTAATTTCTTTTTAATTCTTGCTCCTTCCTCTAAATCTGAAATATAGCTTTACTGTATATTCAAATACAGTAGTCACTGGCCACATGTAGCTACAGAGCAACTGAAATGTGGCTAGTCCAAATTGAGATGTATTTTAAGTGTAAAATATATACCAGATTTGAAAGATTTACATGAATGAGAATGTAAAATATTTAATTAAAAATTTGTATACTGAATATCTGTTGAAATGATAACTTTTGGATTTATTTTTGGATATATTTGGTTAAGCTATATTATTAAAATTAATTTTACCTTTCTTTTTACTTTTTTAATGTATCTATTAGAAAACTTACAATTACATATGTGATTCACATATTTTTATTGAATCTGAGGCCCCTGAAAGCCTCCCCTATTACCTTCCTTAGTTGTTCTTTATGGTCTGACCTCTCTTATCCATTCCTTTCCTTTCCAGTAACTGCTTAAATTTAGATGGTAAAATAGAAAGTCAGACTTTGTGGCCAACCTTTAAGTCAAGAGAATTAAGCACACTGCTAGACAATGAAAGTCTTAAGTTCAGTTCTTTAACTTATTGGATTCATGCTATAATACAATATTAGAAAAAAGGAGGAGGCAGGAGAATAGCCTTCATTGGTGTCTGTAGAGATTGTAGAGATGGGCTGTGTATATGGAGGATTAAAGACACACACACACACACACCCCACACCCACCCACACCCACACACCCACCCACACACACACACACACACACACACACACACACACCCACACCCACACCCACACACACACACAGAAGTAGGACACAGAATGTATTTCATCTCCATTCCTCCCACTTCTCTAGGTTTTTTATCCGTTTTTTTTTTTGTTTTTTTTTTTTTAGCTACACTAATTTGTCTCTCTTTTTCTATGTGTACTAATTTAGACTGTTCTGTTGATGGAATGTGGCTACTGAAAAGATAAAGAAAAACTGCTGGGTGATGATGATGTAGGGTAGTGTCGCAGATCTAAAGACAAGGCAACAGAGATGTTTATCTAAGTTGAAACAGACCTTAGAGATCACCATGTTCCATTTTCCACTCAAATCCATAACTCTTTTATGTATGGAATAAAGGCTGCTTGTGTTGTTAGAACATCAATATTCATCTAACATACCAAATATATACTGAGAAATCCTCTGAAAATATATCTTTCAACAGGGAAAAAACACGAAGCAGAAAAAACATGATGCTATTGTTTATGAACCTAAAGAACTTCTGAATCCCCCTCCCAAAGTAACAAATTGTTGCAAATCACTGTGGGTGAAATACAGTTTTCAGAACGCATACATGACCCGACTTGTCAGCAACCAGCCAGTTTCAGCCATGCCAAGGAACCCAGGTAAGATATTATTTATGTTAAACTAAGAGAAATATTCTACTTAGCATGTATTTTTCTTGGTCTTGAGGGTATAAATTTGGGCATTAAGTAGATTATTTAAACATTAACTAGTTGTAAGAAGATAGTGGTAGATCTACTTATCAAAGTTCTAGGAGGTAAAAATCTAAAACAGACTTAGCTTCATGGTATTAAATCTCTTAGTTTCTATTAGCACTGAATCATTGATGTGACAAGTAATTAAGATGACCCCCAAAGCAACTAAATAAATTTATCTTTTAATAAATATTTGCCTTTAAACGTGACCTGACAATGTCTGCACTCTTAATTAAGGTAGGAAAAATTCAGTATAGGTTCCTTCTTGATTTTGCCAGTGTAGGAAAGATCATGAAGGAAAGATAAATTTGAAATTTTGTGTTGCAAAAATGTATAATTCCTAAAAGTCCCAGAATGTTGGAAAACTAAAGTCTTATGTTTTTGAGAGCATTAAAGAGTGTTGGGGTCAAATTTATGGGCTTTTAAACTTAGTTAAAAATATGCTAGACACATGAAAGGACTTATTAAAACTAATCTCAAACTATTCTCCAGCTTTAAAAGAATTCTATGCCGCTAAGAAAGTGGAAATTTCAAGCATCCTGATAATCTTCTGCCACCATATTAAATATGGTGTACATTTTTCAGAAAAAAAACTCAATTGATGAAAAATTTGAATTTTCATCTGTGCAGGTGTCAACAGTTATCTCTCAAAGCCTGAGATTCTGTCCCCTGTGAATACCTTCTAGAACATATACATATATATTTGAGATGTAATTCATACACCGTAAGTTCAACCTTTTAAAGTGCACAATTGAATAGTTTTTAGTATATTCACAAAATTGTGCAATCATCACTATTCTAGAACTTAGATTTTTTTATAAACCTTTTCCGGTATGTTTTCACACTCACTATAACCCTAGATCCTCACCGATTCCCTGTGAAGCTGATGGGTACCTTCTGAGGCGCCCTGTGGGCGGCGGCAGTCGCATTTACCCGAAAAGCTTTCCTAACTACAATAGTTTCACCTCAAAAACAGAAGCAGGGTGAAGAATTAGTAATGCTACTAACCTCTGATTTATAGAGTAACAGACAACCTCACCTACGTTTGTTTTCATGCCTAGAACTTTCGTTTTACCACTTATGTGAAACCTTATTTGTGACTGGTGTTTTAGTCAGGTGGGTGCACACAACGGCGGATCCCCCAATTAGAGGCGGCAGCCCACACAAGCCTCCCATTTCCTTTCAAACGCACTGTTCTGGCCCGGGAGGCAGCTGCGCGTTTCTCCCCGTGCATTTTATGATATCGCTGAAGACATGGGAGGTGTGCAGGCTGAAGGGGACG